GGAAGCCCTGAGTTCTATCACTGGTACCACATAAAAACAGCCTGTATTCCTAGCACTCAGCAGGTAGAGGTATGAAGATCAGAAGTTCAAGGTCATTCTTGGCTACATAAAGAATGCAAGGACAGCTTGGGCTCCATGAGACCTTATATCACAACAAATTAAAACAAACAAAAAAGAAAATGAAACGTCTGGAAGATTGTCTAAATGTATACAGATATATTTGTGTGCTGATTTCTAAGTCCACATAAATGATACACCAGGAGATTCATCTTGATTCAGATCTGCTGTTTTTATGGAGAATAATTTTTAATAAAAATTTATCAACTCTTAGTAAATCTTCCATTCATGTGTTTCTTCTACATTTTTACATGAAAGGAATGTTAATTAGGGGTTCACCTTTGAGGGGAGAAATTGTCTGAACACCCATCTATTGTGGAGAAAAGATGAGAGATGGTTGCCTCTGTTTTACTCTCTTCCTTTTCCCTTCCCTCCCCCTCCCTCCCTCTCTCCCTCCCTCCTTTCTTCCCTCCCTCCCTCCTTCCCTCCCTCCTTCTCTCCCCCCTTTTCCCTTCCTTTCACCCCTTCTTTTTTTCTTTTTTTTTTTTTTTTTTGAGACAGGGTTTCTTTGAAGCTTTGGAGCTTGTCCTGGAACTAGCTCTTATAGACCAGGCTGGTGGCCTCAAACTCACAGAGGTCCACCCGCCTCTGCCTCCCTAGTGCTGAGACTAAAGGTGTGCACCACCCCCGCTCGGCTTCCTTCCATCCTTTCTTGTATTCTGAATCAGGTTTCCTATAGTCCACGCTGACCTAGAAGTCACTGTATAGCCATGGATGACCTTGTGCTTCTGCTTCTCCTGTGCTGACTCCCCAAATGCTGGGTTTGCAGGCATACATTACCATGCTTGGTTTTATGCAGTGTTGGGGGTTGAACCTAGGGCTCTGCGCATGCTAAGCAAGCAGTCTACCAACTGAGACATATTCCTAGCTGTTCGTTTGTTTCTTAAACTTGAAAATATAAAACACCTTTTTTCCAAAGCTCCTTATCCTCTGACTGAGCCCAAGGGACTCCATCTCTTGATACATCTGCTTCTTGATGTGAAATCTCCCTTCTCCAGGAATAGCTGTGTGTAAAATCACAGCTTCTACTTCAGTTGTATAATTTCCTATGATAAACAGCTAAGTTGAATGCTAATCAAGATTACCTCCTGGTTCTACCTCACAAAGCAATGCACACAAATGCATGGCCTGGCCTGGAAGCTGGGATTTGTCATTTGCAGACACGTTTGCTCACTTTGACCACGGCAGCCCCCTTCTGTCTGCAAGTGCATGGTAGACTCCCTGTCCATGCACCTTGGCTGACTTGCTTCCATCCTCCATCCATAGTGTCTGTTCAGGGAGGCAACTTTATTCTGCGTGCTTCAGACTTACCTTGCAGAAGCCAAAAGGATTCCCAGTGGCTTGAAGACAATGGAGAAGATACTGTGTGCTTCTCCAAGTCAACCACTTTTCATAGTCTGGGGAACGTAAGTGATCAAATGGGCAAGACAAGTGTAGGTGTTTGTACTTGTGTGTGCATGTGTGCAGAGGCCTGGGCATGTGTGCCTGTGTGTTCTTGTTCATGTGTTTATGTGTGTGCATGTGTGCATGTGGTGGTCAGGGAACAACTGTAGGCATCACCTCTCAAGTGTTAGCCACTTGTTTTTTTGAGACAGGTTCCGGAACCAGCCTGGGACTGCCCATCAGGCTAGGCTGGCTGGCCAGTGAGTTCCAGGGATCCATTTGCTTCTGCCTCTCTACTGCTGGGAGAAACAAGCCCACACCTGGCTTTCTCATACAAGTTCTGGGGATCAAACACAGGTCTTGGGTTTTTTGTTTTTTGTTTTTTTTTTTTTTTGACTTAGCTATCTCTGCAGCTCAGGATTTTTAGTGTTTTTATATTACACCTATTTATTTAATTAGTATTTGTGTGTGCCCCATGCCACAATATTCACAGGGAGGTCAGAGGACAATCGGGAGGAGTCAGTTCTCTCCTTGCGCTATGTTGTGTCTAGGGGATTGAATACACGTGATCAGGGTTAGAGGCAGGTGTCTTTACTCACTTATCCATCTGACTGGCCCAACCCTTAAAGGAATTACTGTATGTTTGTTTTGTGTGGGTACATGTGTGTTGGGGGCAGAGACCTCATGCGCCAGGACACGTGTGGAGGTCAGAGGACATTTTTTCGGGTGTTGAGTCTCTCCTTGAGACTCTCTGAAACTCAACTCCAGTTAGTCCTAGAGGCAGCCATATTTACTCACTGAGCCATCTCTCCTCCTTGCCATTTTATTATCTTAACCTTGAATATTTGGTCTATAAGAGTGGATCTCAAGAAACTACAAGGCAGGGGCACTTTCCATATGGATACCGGGAGCTGTTTACCACAGGGCAAGCAGACCTGCTAAGATAATTACAGTATAATTGGGTGCTCAGATAGCACTGGGAAAAGGACAGTCAGTTTCCACTCTGTGAACCTGTGCAGGAGTGAGAAGAGCTTTCCTAGGCAGGCTTTTGTTATTTGGTATCTTCTGGTTTTTGCTGCTTTCTGAGGTGGGTCAATAGAAACCACCCTAAGGCCAAATATATGAATATCTCTCTGATGAGCCCATGTCTCCCACAATGGCCTTATAAGGATGACCTCTGGATAGGATGTCCTGGGGTGAGTCTATCCACATCGAGGAAGACTTTTCCCCTCATAGGTCTTAACCTTTCATAGCGAGACGGACAGTCAGGACAGTAGGAAATCGAAACAAGCTATGTTTAGCTGAATTTTACATACCATAATCTCTTTACCATGGTCAAGCAAGGCAGGAATGCTCAGACTGATCGTTCTGGCTTAAATCCATTCCAGAGGGGAGTGATTTACGACTTAACACCATTCTTGACTTTTCCCTGGGAGTGAAGTTAAATGACCCAAGAATAACACTAGTCTGCACCAGGCTGGGTGAGAACGGCCTTCTAAAGGGTGGTCTCAGGCTTAGCTTTTCACCCCCAGTCTCGGACTCCCTCCAAAGTCCCAGCCGGCATCCAGGAGCACTGCTGTTTAAGAGGCTGACAGTGTGGTGAGTTATGTGATCTGAGGGAGTTGGTCCCCTGAGTCTCCACTGTCTGCACCCACGAATCTTGACTTGACCCAAGCACATGAGACCCTGAGTAAGTCCTACCTTCCTTGATGCTCCAGTCTTGACTTACAGATCCCTCTGCCCTGTGCTTGATTTAGAAAAACAGGAATGGGTTAGAAGGTAGATTTGGCAGGTCAGTTCAAGTAGAGGAACAAAACCAAGGCCACGGTGGGAGATTTTAATGGTTAATAGAAATAAATGTAGGGCTGGAAAGATGATTCAGTTAATGAAATGCTGGCCCTCACTAGCATGAGGACCTGAGTCCAGATCCCCAGAATCCACACACAAAAAAATCCAGGCATGATGTGTTTAAACAGCCCAGTACTGGGGAGGCAGGGACAGAGAGAGATTCCTGGGCCTTTTTCTCTAGCTAGTTTATTTGGATGGATAAACTTTAGCTTCAATGAGGGACCCTGCCTCTACCCCAAGCCCTGGCCAAAAGGTGGAGGAGAATGGTAAAGAAAGACACCAGCATAGACCTCTGGTCTCCACAGGCTTATGCACAAACATACATAAACAAAATAAATTGATGTAAAAATGGACCCCTTAACATAGCCCAAGTGTCTCAAAAGCCATCGGCAAAGCTTAGAAATGGATGAGTGAGATGTTGAAACTGGTTGAAGACAGATGTCTTTTGAAAGAGTGTTCAGAACACCTTTGGGGGACTCCTAGTTACACAGTTTCTCAAGCAGGAGGTAGCTCATCTTCAGACAGCTGCAGGTGTCAGAGAGGTGGCATGGTGGTACAGAGCTTAGCGGATGCGGAAGTCTGCACACGAAAGTCCACAGGCAGATCCCGGCTGCCATCTCAGAGCAGCTTGTGGGTGGCTCAGAGGAAAATGATGCTCCTGTGGAGAGAGGTGCTCCCTGTGACCTGCTTGTGCTCCTCCACCCTGAAGATGGAATGACCTCTGCTAAACCTTTCCCTCTGCTGAACAGCTAAAACCTATGACGTCAGTTCTCTCTCTCTCTCTCTCTCTCTCTCTCTCTCTCTCTCTCTCTCTCACTTTCTCTCAAGACAGGATCTCTTGGCTGGCCTGGAACTTGCTATGTAGTCCATGCTGGCCTGGAACTCACAGCGAACTGACTGCTTCTGCTTTCTGAAGGCTGGGATAAAGGTGCGTGCGCCTTCGGCACCACACCTGGCTCATTACCTCAGCTTCTAAGAGCAACAGAGAGGTGGGGAAATGGCTCAGTCAGTAAAGGGCTTTGCTGTGCAAGTGTGAGGACCCGAGCTCATTCCTAAGAACACACATTAAAAACAAACATGCAAACAAATAAACAAAGAAGCCATCGAGAATTGAGGAGTGGAGGAGTATGTTTGTGATCCCAGCATTTGAGGAAGCAGAGACACGTGGATTCCCTGGGATTCAAAGGCTAGCCAGTCTAGCCAAAGGGTAAGTTGCAGGACAGTGAGAGACCCTGTCTCAAAACCAAGATGAATAGGTCCAGAGAAGGACCTCTAGCTTCCAAGTTTGCATACACCTGCGTACACATCTGAACTTGCATATGCACACACACACAGTGTGTTTGACAGGGTCTCTTTCCATTTCCTTTGGGGTAAAATTTCTTTATATCCTCAAAATATAGCCCTTGCATGGGTATGGTTGGGTAAATTTGTATTGTTGTTCATGGATCTCTACACTTATTGCCTAGAGTCTTCCACTAACTTTGATGGGACTCAAGTTGGGACAGATGAGAGGAGACAGTGGCAACTCTTTTTTTTTTTTTTTTTTTAACAGAACCTGCCTCAAGTTTATTTGTAAAAACAGCATCAGGTCCTGAACATCTGCAAATACTGTGTAGGTGTTCACACCAGTCCATCTGTCTTCACATTGGCAGACTGAGACCTTTTTTATGGGGCCTTCACAGGGGCCTGGGCACCTTTAGGAGCCTGAGCTGCAGCTGAGGCCTCTGCCTTGGCTTGAACCTTGGGCTTTGTTTTTTGGAGCCTATGACCCCTGGTCATGTAGCTTCTAATCCGCTTCCCAAGTTTGGTGTGAGCAATTAAAGCCAGACGAGTGAGTTTGCGGGTGGGACCCTTTGGCACCTTGGGCTTCACCACCTGGGGCTTCACCAGGGCCTTGATGGCCTCTGCACGTACACTCATGGCCTTTGCATTATTTGCCTGCATCTTCTTCAGGCCTTTCTTGTTGTGCTTCTTGGCAAAGCGCATGTTCCTCAGGAACTTGGGGTCAACCCCCTTGAGAGATTCATATCTTTGTGATCGGGGTTTCTTGATGCCATTTCTGTTCCATTTCCGGGACTGGTTGTGTGTGGTGTGGTTCTTGGACTTGGCCATGGCTGGACCTGCAGGAGAGACGTAAGATCAGGGCTGGGGCTCCTCAGAGCGGGCCACCTGCACCCTGAGCTGCTGAAACATGGAGAAACCAGACTAGAGCAGCAGCAGACGCTTCCGACTGACGCCTTCCACCGGCCTCGCAGCAGCCACCGAACGCGACCCTGCCTCTCAAACGCGGGCAGTGAGGTCCTGAAATGAACTCTGCCGGCCCCCGGGGCGGCTTTCTCTACCATCCATTCCCTGAGAACGACCAGACGTCATTCCCGCCCCACAGCTCCTACACCCCACAGCCCCGCAGCGGGCCGCCCTGTCCTCCCTGTGGCCCGCATAGCGCGCTCCGCGCCCCGCCGCCGCCCACGAGTCCGGCAACTCTTTGTTAACATGAAAAGGACCAGTGTGGCTCCTCTTTGCTTTCCCATGGTAGGCAAAGCTTCGTGGCCAAGCAGGACCCAGGTGGAATATCCTGCACAGCTGGAACCCCTAGGAATCAGCCTTCCATTGGAAAGCAAGCACTGTTTGCTGGGGTGCAGCTCAGTGGTAGAGCAGCTAGCTACTCAGTACCACAGAGTCCTGGATCAGATCCTCAATCCCCAAACCAAACCGACCAAACCAACCCACAGGATCTAGTGGTTTCTCTATATATCATGTCAGGGACTTTTCCCTTAAGATGTTTTAAAAACTGTAGCTCTAGGGAGTTGGTGACATAGCTCAGCAGCTAAGAGGACCCAAGTTCAGTTCCCAGCACCCATACTAGATGCCTTGCAACTGCCTGTAACGCCAGCTCCAGGTGAGCTAATAACACCCATGTACAGAGTTAAAAACAAAGGAGACTGGAAACCTAAGAACTGGGGCTCACAACATCATTAATGCAGCTCTAATCAGGAGTTTAGTGGAAGAAACAAAAGAAGAGAATTCACTAAGAACCAAGTTAGAAAGTCACAAACCTACGTGTCAGTTATGGTCATAGAATGAATTCTGCTGAATATAGTGAGACCACGGAGCATTTTCAATCAGTTAAACACACTTCTGCAGTGCTCAGAGTCTTATCCGTGTTAGGCAAGTGTTTTACCACTGCGCTGTATGCACCCTTAGTCCTGTAACTGGTGGGTGGCAGGTGCGTGTTTGCTCGTGTGTGTAGGTGCGAGTGAACATGTGTGTATCTGTGTGGAGGCCAGAAGACAATTCTGGGTGTTCATTGCACAGTCTACGTTATTTTTTTGAGTTGGCGTATCTCACTGGCCTGGAGTTCATCAGGTAGGTTAAGCTGGCTGTCCAGCAAGCCCAAGGATCCCCTGCCTGCCTCCACCTCCGGTGTGCTGAGATTACAAGCATCTGACCCCCCCCCCCCCCCAGTCTTTAGACGCTTGTTCTGGGGGGAGATTAGAACTCAAGTCTTCATGTTTGCTTAACCAGCACTTTACTGATTAAGACAGTTCCCCACCATTTAATCAATTTTCTTTACTGTTTGGACCTTCCTTTGAGTTCTATGAACAGCTTCTATGAACCTTGGAGTTCTAGGAACAGCTCTTTGATCAACAGGCTGCATTTTGGGTAAAACTTCTGCCTTCACTGTTGGCTTAGCTCATCCAGAATGACACTGTGGTCATTAAAAACATCATTTAAATTAATTTCCTGGCCAATAATGTGGGGCTTCCTGGAATTTGAGCTATGTGTGTTGCCTGGTCCATGTTAGGACTGAGGCAACAGGGCCAGGCATGGGCAAGGGTGCAAAGATGTGGTGATTAATTTAGGGGTCAAGCGTTTAAACATCTGGTGTCTGTGTGCTGCTTGCTTCAGTTCCTACGCCTCTGCTCAGGCAGAAGGAGCTGGAAGCCCCCCTACTGCCTTTATTTCCAGCTGAGTTGCCTTGCACTCTGTCTCTCAGCTTCTCCAGATGCAAGCCCAAGGGGGACCGCGCACTGCAGTTTGTACCACCCTGTGGCGACTTTACGCTATGACACATGGTCCCTCTGCTTCTTTCCTCGCTGTCAACCCTCTCTTCTGCTAGCTCCCAAGGGCCACGTTTTAGCTCTGACCCCTCTCCAGACATTTGGAGAGACTCTCCAGAGTTTGATCCATCCCAGGGCGGAGTTCCATGTCTTGGAGAACTCCCAGAATCAGCCGTGCAGGACTCTCATTGTCCTTAAGATCTCTCAAAAGCCTATGCGGTGGGAAATTTAGCATCACAAGACCAAATCAGAATGAGGGGGCTTCAGGGATGGCTCGGTGGGGGAGAGCGCATGCTGTGCAAGTGCAAGGCCCAGAGTTCAGATCCCCAGCAGGTATGTAAAGAGTTGTGTGTGGCTATGCAGGTGCCTGTGACCTCAGGCCTGTGATGGATAGAGACATGAGAATCACTAGGGGTTGCTGGCTGCCAGCCTCCTTCTAGGTTCTGTGAGACAACTCTGTTTCAGGTGTATAAGGTGGATATAGAGAAGAATACACCATAGTTTGCCTTCCCTGGCCCCTGCATTCAAACACCCGCAAACATATAAACCGCACGTATACACTCCCCACAGATACACCACACACACACACACATACACACACACACACACACACATGCACACACACCAATAAATACATAAGTAAATCCCTCAGAACCCAGAGTGAGCTCTAGACTAAAGCAAGGGCAGCACCCCAAGTTCAATACCCACGTGGGGCTGCCGCTGAGACAGGAAAGTGGATGGCCTCTGATGTCCACAGAAGTGTTCCAGTGCTTGCATTTTCTCTCGGCCCACAGATCTCCCAAATGTTCTTTCTCCACAGTGTACCCCCACCCCCAGTTTTATACGTAGCAGATGGTGTTCAAACAAGTCAAGGAGCAGAAGCTGCAAAAGGCTTAAAGGGAAAAAAAAAGACAGTGAAACTCATATATTTCTTCAAACGATAAGATGAACTGCAGATGTTTGAAGACTGGCCATGGTGCCGCCTGCGACTACAGCTCCACTTAAAAGAAGAGTCCGCTCGTGTTTAACGTTGGACAAGCCCGGTAGCTGTCACAGCATGATTTACGGAGCTTGTTTGTGAGATTTTATGTTACTGGGGACCTGGCAATGAAAACCCCATCCCTTCTGCCCGTCGGCATCATCTCCCGGAGTCCGTGGTAGAATTGTGGGGTGCACTTGGTACTCCACAGCCAGCCTGTGGTCCTCTGACTTCCCTTCCATCCTGGACACCTGAACTAACCCCTCTGTGGGGTTTCTGGTCCTTGGAAGTGTCCCATTCTTACCTGACACCTGCAGTCAGATTACTCTCAAATTAAGCTTGACAAAGTCGCTAAAGGCGAAACAGTTGTGTGGCAGAATCCAGCTGCATATAGAAAACAGCTGCTTCCAGGCTTTCTTTTCTTTTTTTTTTTTTAAAGGAAGAAAAGAATCTCCATAGAGTGTTTAAAATGTGAACATAGAGGTTATCTTAGAAAGGCCAGCAGAGGCCTGTGATCAGCATGGTGCTGGGTAGCCATGGTTCTAGTAAAACCTGCTTTGGGGAGGACTTGTTCCTCAGGCATAAATATTTATTACCAACCCAAGCCGGGGACCCAAGACCTTCTCTGAATATAGATTTCCCTTCCTGCCTCTGTCTTCCAAGGCTTTCTTTCTTTTCTACATTTATTTGTTTGCTTATTTCTCTATTATGTTGTTTGTGTTCGCACATAGATGTGAGGTCAGAGAAACTTAAAGGAGTCCAGTGTTTCTGCCCACAGTGGTGATCTGGGAGCGGGACTCAGATCACCAGACTTGGAATAAGCAACTCCCCCACCCCAACTCTGATTTTTTTGTTTCTGTTTTTTGAGACAGGGTTTCTTTGTGTAGCCTTGGCTGTCCTGGAACTCACTCTGGAGACCAGGCTGGCCTCCAACTCACAGAGATCCGCCTGCCTCTGCTCCCCAAGTGTGGGATTAAAGGTGTGTGCCACCACCGCCTGGCTGCCCAAGGCTGATCTTAAGGAAACTGAACACATTGTATCTTCTGGACATCCATGCTTATTCCCAGGTACGACCAAGGCAGACAGCTGTGAATTCAGATACGTACGCTTATTAGAACATGTGTACAGGGCCCTTCGCCCAGGTGGCTGTGGGATGGGTTTGAGTCCAGGCAGAAGCAGAAGGAGGAGCCCCCAGCCATCTCTGGCCTCTGAAGTCAAAACGTGTACAGCCTTTGAAGTCCACAACTCAGGTGCCAGCCTCTCCCATCAGCAAGAGGAGGAAGTCATTCATTTTCAAGTGAGGGAGGAAATGTCTTGGGATCCGGTTGTTCCATTGAGCGAATCCTTGAAAAGGTATTTTGTAGAGGATGAGGGGAGGGAGAGAGATGGTGGAGTGAAGCATGAAAGATAGGAGTTAGGTAGGAGGCAGCGTGTAGGGGCCGACAAGGACCTCAGGAGGGAGCCAGGAAGGTAGTGGGTAGCTTTCAGTTCAGTGTTGCTGGGCGGAAGTCCTTGCTGCACAACTCAAGGACGCGGGTTCTCTCTTAGAAGCTGTAGCCAATGGCTGGCATCTCTAAGCCCTGCCTCACACTCAGGGTGAGATAGGATCAGAGGGAGTGTGGGTGTGGAGTGCAGAGGCAGAAGTAGAGAGTCCCTGGCTCGGAAACAGAGCAGAAGGAAAAGCTATTGCTGGGAAGGCATCCTCCGATCTTCACACATGATGCATGGCATGCCCCCCAACCCCCAAAACAAATACAGAAAACTGAAGCATTTATCTAATTATTCTTTATCAATAAAAAATTGGGAGTCAAATATCAGGATAAGAACCTGAATGATCAGAGAAGTTTCGGAGAAGCTACCAGTCACCTCCTGTCTCTTCCATTCCTCCATCCAAAAGGGCTGAGTCTCTCAGCCCTGCCTTAGTACTTCCTGTCTCCTATCTGTCCTCACTCCTCCCCAACCTCTGCAGTTAATTTTGGTCTGCTAGTGGCTAGCTCGACCCTCTGCCTCAGAGCAAACTTTATCGTCAGAATGCAATCAAAATATCATACAACATACAATAATCTCAAAAAATTCCCATTTCTGTGTTTAGAGGCAGGAGGATGGACAGTAGGATTTCCCAGGATCTGGCCTGCTTTCATGTTGAACACAGCCACAGTGCTTGACCCTGGGTTTGCTGACAAGGAGCCACAAAAATCCAAGCTGGGATGGCCCCTGGAGTCTTTGCCTTCTTTCTCCCCACATTAACGCAAAACCTCATTGGGAAACTCCTAAAGCCACGTGACTCCTAT